GCCTCAGCCTCCTGAGTAGCTGGGATTACAGGTGCCCGCCACCACGCCTGGCTAATTTTTGTATTTTTAGTAGAGACAGGGTTTCACCGTGTTGGCCAGGCTGGTCTTGAACTCCTGACCTCAGGCAATTTGCCCACCTCAGCCTCCCAAAGTGCTCGGATTACAGGTTTGAGCCACTAGGCCTGGCTTTTTTTTTTTTTGAGAGGGAGTCTTGCTCTGTTGCCCAGGTTGAAGTGCAATGATGCAATCTTGGCTCACTGCAACTCCATCTCCCGGGTTCAAGTGATTCTCCTTCCTCAGCCTCCCAAGTAGCTGGAATTACAGGTGCCCGCCACCACGTCCACCTAATTTTGTATTTTTAGTAGAGACAGGGTTTCACTATGTTGATCAGGCTGGTCTTGAACTCCTGACCTTAGGTGATCCACCTGCCTCAGCCTCCCAAAGTGCTGTGATTACAGGTGTGAGCCACCACGCCCGGACCAAAATATGCTCATTTTAATAAAATGCAGAGATAAGTTGACGAAAATTTCACCCACAACCTTGTCAACCTCCTGGAATGAAAGCCTCTGCGACCCTGCCCTAAAGACTCATGAATGTGAGGCTCCAGAACCTTCTCAGGCTGGGCTCGGTGCCTCACGCCTGTAATCCCCACACTTTGGAAGGCTGAGACAGGAGGATCACTTGAGTTCAAGACCAGCCTGGGCAACATAGCCAGACCCCTATTTCTATCCTCCCAAAGAAAAGCCTTCTTAAACTGGAATTGAGTCCCGCAACTTTGGTAACTCACAAATAAGCCCGTGTGGCGTCTCGCAGACTCGGGAAATTCTCCAAGTGCCCAGGGAGACGTGCTGGGCACTTTCCTGGCCGTGACTGCCGTCCTCTGCCTGCTCCATGTCTTGGTGGTCTTCCTTTAGACCTGGGCCTCACTCTTGCTTCTCTCCTGCAGCTCTGGGCGACGTTGCTGGCAGAGGAAATGAGAAGAAACCCAAGAGCGTGGGGGCTCTGTCCATCGTCCTCCCCATTGGTAAGCGCGGGCCGGTCCCCCAGCATCCCCCAGGTCACAGCCTCCTGCAATGTGACCTCGTGCCTGGCCAGTTGGGCCTGTTCACCTTTTCTCCCGGGCAGGGTACAGCCCCACTGAGTGTCCCTTATCACCCCGACAGCCTCTCCCGGCTTCGGGCTGACAGTGACAAGATCAGACAGCTAAGGGGTCAGATGGAGGACGTGGAGCTGGGTCCTGTGCTGCGGACATGGCCTCACCGAGACTTGAGTGCCTTCTGGGGAACTGGTTCTCTTGCAAGGGACTGTGTGGAGAGGCGCACTCTCGCTGCCTCACTCATGCTCATCCTAACTCACATCACATTTCTTTTTTCCTTTTTTCCTAAATTTTAAGAAAAAAGAAATTTAATTTGTTTTAGAGACAGAGTCTTGCTCTGTCACCCAGGCTAGAGTGCAGGGGCGCGATCATGCCTTGCTGTAGCCTCAATGTCTAGGCTCAAGTGATCCTCCCACCTCGGCCTCCCGAGTAGCTGGTACAAGCCACTGTACCCCGGTTCCTATTTCTTAAAAAGTCACAGCCTTGTGTGTGGCTAATCCTGGACAGAAATATGGAAGAAGTCAGCTACTTCTGGGGTGTGGCTCACCCAGTGGGCTTCAGGTTAGATATTCCTTATACTTACGAGGCTGGGCGCCGTGGCTCATGCCTGTAATCCCAGCACTTTGGGAGGCTGAGGTGGGTGGATCGCTTGGGCTTAGGGCTTCGAGACCAACCTGGGCAACATGGCGAAACCCTGTTTCTACAAAAGATACAAAAATTAGCTGGGCAGGTGACACTTGCCTGTGGTCCCAGCTACTTGAGGGGCTGAGGCAGGAGGATTGCTTGAACCTGGGAGGTCAAGGTTGCAATGAACTGAGACTGCGCCACTGTACTCCAGCCTGGCAACAGAGCAAGACTCCGTCTCAAAATAAATTAAAAAAAAAAATTCTTA